TGCCACGCAGGCCTGCAGAGGCTGTGCCCACTGCCTCCAAGTGCCAACCTGCCCAGGCTCCCTGAAGGCCACCATCTGGGCACGGTGCTGCTGTCCCATCCGTCTGTGCTGCACGGCTGTCATTTCTCTGAGCCTGCGCCCTGTGTGGGCCGAGCCTTTCCTGGTGATGGGATAGGCCAAGGGCAGCCTCCGTGGTGCTGTGCGGGAACAGAAGGGGGGCTTCTGAGGGTCCTGGGGCGGTTGTGGGAGCAGGCTGGGTGCAGGCCTGACCGGTGGCAGCTGGCTCTGCAAGGAGGAGCTGGCTGGCTGTGAGGTTGCACCTCCAAATGGCCTTGTCCCCGTCCCCAGCCGGCCTCAGGGCAGGGCGCTGACCTTCATGCGCAGACAGGGTGGAGGAGGGGCCTGGAGAAGGGGGCCTCGCTGGTTCTGGGGACCAGGCGACAGTTATGGGTAGACTGTGGGCAGGGGAAGGACTGGCTTCGAGGAGGGTGGTCCAGCACCCGCTGACACCTGCCTGCCTGCGCCCTCAGACAGGACAGCTGGAGCCTCTGCTGTCGGGGTTCACCGAGGAGGAGGAGCAGCAGATGCAGAGGATGCTGCAGAGGATGGATGTCCTGGCCAAGGTCGAGGGCCTGGGATGTGCCCCGGGGGCTGGGGGGCGCCTGTCTCACCTGAGCCCCAGACAAACGCTCTCTCCCACCCCTGACCTCTAAGAAAGCCACCCAGGTGGGGGTGCGGCTGATGGTGGACGCCGAGCAGACCTACTTCCAGCCGGCCATCAGCCGCCTGACGCTGGAAATGCAGCGCAAGTTCAACGTGGAGAAGCCGCTCATCCTCAACACGTACCAGTGCTACCTCAGGGTGCGTTCCCCCCCCCCCCGGCCCCCACCCTTCGGGGATGGCATCCCCCCACTGAGCCCCCAGGTCGGGGAGGGAGGTTGGTCGATCCAGATCCCACACAGGGGTGCTGAGGGGTGGGAGGAAGAGGAAGAGGAAGGGGCTGTTCAGGGTCCACGTAATGTCTGTAAACCCCAGATGTCAAAGCACTCACGAATGACCGTTTTCTGTAAGAATCCGATGAAAGCTCTGGGCCTTGGCCCAGAAAAGCCTTGACTAGGATTTGGCGTGTCCCTGGTAATGCTTCAGGGCGGGATCCCTGAGCACAACCCTAGAATGGGCAGCCTGGGGACCAGGGAGGGGTTTAGAGGCCGCGGGTGGGGCTGAGGGGCCTGGTGTAAACGGTGGCTGCTGGCATCTGGTCTGTCCCCTCCAAGGACTGCCCCCGGCCAAAGAGAAGAGGCTGCAGGTGCCCCTCTTCTCCCCCCCCGCCCCCCCGGTCACCATTCCTTGTGGACAGAGGTCCCCGCCTACACCTGTCTTCCAGATCCCCTGGGCACTCACAGGGCACCTCCCTCAGCCACCTGCTGCTGCCCTGCTGCCGCTTGCCGGCTGTACCCTGGATGCTCCTAGGCCGTAAAGGCCCGAGGACAAGCATGTCACGCTCAAAGGCTAACCCCGGCCAAATAACGCGGCTCGCAGCCCTCGAGTTTGACATGCCTGCCCTAGGAGGTGCTGGCTGGAGGGGCTGACCTCGTTACTGGCTCTCGGGTCTGACCCTGCAGGATGCCTACGACAACGTCACCCTGGACGTGGAGCTGGCTCGCCGCGAGGGCTGGTGCTTCGGCGCCAAGCTGGTGCGGGGGGCGTACATGGCTCAGGAGCGGGCCCGGGCCGCCGAGATCGGCTATGAGGACCCCATCAACCCCACGTACGAGGCCACCAACGCCATGTACCACAGGTGCGCCATCCTCCTCGGTCCCGGGGCCTCAGGGCCACCTGGGGAGGGGAGGGGAGGGGAGGGAGAAAAGGGCGAGGGAAACCCCCCTCCTTGGTGCTGAAGCCAACATAAGGGGCCTCTATCGGAAGGGGGAGCAGCCCTGGAGACAGCAGCTTCTGTAAGAGCGAGACTTTTGCCCTGAGGCCGGAACCGATTATTTTCTGCTTTTGATTGACTTTTTCAAAAACATTAAGGTCGTTTTTAAAATGTCTTTATTGATTTTTTTTTTTTTTTTAGAGAGAGAGAAAGAAGGGTGAGGAATAGAGAGCACATCCCCTTTGGGGACCGAGCCTGTAACCCGGACATGTGCCCTGACCAGGAATTGAACTGGTGACCTCTTGGTTCATGGGTCGACGTTCAACTACTGAGCCACACTGGCCAGGCGGCTTTTTTAATATAGAAAAGTCGACTAACAAAACTAAACTGGCCTGGGTCCCTGGCAGCTCCCGCCCTGCACTCACCTTGTTCCAGGGACCATCCTGGTCTCTCGTGCTGCGTAAGACAAACAGGTGACAGTTTATGCGGGACAGACAGGCTGGCCGCATGCTGTTTCTCTACGAGGAGGTGCAGGTGTGTTGCAAATTTAAAGAGACCCCGGGTGTCTCCCTCTGACCTGCCTTTCGGCCCCGGCAGCGCCCAGCGTCCTCCCAGGAGCTGCATGCGCCCCTCGGTCAGACCTCACGGCTGCACACGCGCGGTCTTCTGCCCTTGCTTTCCTGGTAAAGCTGAGCTGGATCCCCCCCGGTCAGCGTGCACACCGTTAACGGCCAGCGCAGGGTGCCTGTGCTCGCGTGTGTCCTGTGTCAGAAGGATGACCCGAGGCACACGCTGTCCATCTCTCGTGCCCAGGGGTGAGGACAAGCCGTGGCTGGACAGGGAGCTGCTGGGTCAGAGGACACGCGCCTGCCTGGTTTTCACTGCCGGATGGCACAGCGGCCAGGCTCCCGGGCTCCCTGTGCCTTTAACTGCCCCGAAGAGCCTTTCCGGACGGGAGGCCGCATCAGTGCTGGGCGCACAGGGCGCTGTGCCTCCGCTCGTTCCCTCCGATGCCTAACCCCGTGCTGCTTGCTTTTTCCTTCTTCCTCACTGGTGCCAAGAAGGCCGGTGCTCCTGGTCCTGTCCTGGCACCCGGGGCACCTCTCGGAGGATGGGCTCGCGGAGCGGCCCTGGGCCCCGTGGCCTTTGCCCCGCAGGGAGCTCTCCGGGCCCAGGCTCACCTCCCCCCCCCCCTCCCCCCAGGTGCCTCGATTACGTCCTGGAGGAGCTGAAGAACAACCCCAAGGCCGAAGTGATGGTGGCCTCGCACAACGAGGACACGGTGCGCTTCACGCTGCGCAGGTAAGGAGTGTTCCCCCCCCCCCCCCACACACACACACAGCTGTCTGAGCGCCCCCGGGTCAGCAAGGAGCTTGGTGAGACCCGGGAAGCATGCACAGCAGACATGTCAAACTCAGAGGCTAGCATGGGCCTAACAAATGAGACATGCGACCCATGGCCCATGAGTTTGACATGCTTGATGTACAGAGTGCCCTGCCAGGCACTGTGGGTGCTTGAGGGGAGAGGTGGCTTTAGTGCTTCCCAGGCCCTGCCCCACCAGGCCTTGCTAGGCATTGCACTGCTGTAGCAAAAAGGCAATTTGCAGTTAATTTGGTTTTAAAAATTAATATCTGGCAGACTCAAATTTCAAATTCAAACAATAAATGTCAGTAAATAGCTCCTTAAAATGCACAAATACAGGGTGGAATGCTGAAACCCCTCAAGAAGCCTCTGATGCCGGGCCTCTTTAGAGACAACTTAAGCCGCATTTGGAATTTAACAGTCTGTTTTCTCTTTAAACGCCTGCCCTGTGGAGCAGACCTGGTGGGATCCTTACCAGTCAGATGTAGGAAGCAGGTGAAGCAAACAAACATCCCAGTATTGCCGCCAGGCTCCTTCGTCTGGGTCTTGGCCCGAGCGGTGCCACTCCAGGGGCCGGGGCCCAAGTGCCCGCCTCTCCCCAGCCACTGCCTCCGGGGGCTGAGGCCCTGCACTGAAGGCTTGCTGGTCCGCAAGTCTCCCAGGAGCAAAGCAGGGGCCCCCGTCCCACAGCAGGGACTCCCCAGGCCCAAGGCCTGCTGCTGAGCGGGGCTTCCTAAGGGGGCAGTGAATGCACAGGGGGGTGAAGGTGCTGCCTGGTAGGCTCTGCCTGCAGAGCTGACTCCAAACCCGTTCAGTCACGTCAAAGCTCCTCCTCTGTCGGGATGGCGCTGCCTTTTCCGTCGGAAACGGCAATAAAAGCCACGCTTTCTGACGCACAGCGGTGGCAGCCACCTCCTGCGCTGGGGGCCAGGGAGCCGAGAGCCGCTCGGGCCCACCTTCCCTGGGTTGCGGTGTGGTCTCTGGTCAGACCCCAGGACCTCACATAGCCCGTCAGCTTTGACCGAGGAACAGCCCCACACAAAACTCAGTGGCCGAGCAACAGTGTGCTCTGTGGGCCTGCAGAGTGGACTGGGCTCAGCTGGGCCCAGGACAGCAAAGGGGGCTGCCTCTCCTGGCCGGTGTCCGGCAGCCCCTTCCAGAGACACGGTGGCCCTGGAGGCTGGTGCCTGCTGCATGGACAGAGCAGCCAGTGAGGGGAGGGCAAGCGGCCTGGCTGGGCGTGAGGGCGGGGCACGGAGCAGAAGGGCTGGGGAAAGGGGCAGTGGGAGGGCCGGAAGCTTCCCCGAGCCACACCGTGGGGCGGGCTGCTGGGCAGGCCTGCCTCGCTGGGTCAGAGTGCCACTAGGGGAGGCTGGGACAGGCAGAAGGGAGCTGCAGGGCAGAGGCCCAGTCTGGGCAGGACAGAGCCTATAGCCCTGCAGAGAATGGCGGTTAGAGCATGTGGATGGGGATCAGCCTGCCAGGGGCTCACCTGCTGCCCTGCCTGGTCACAGGATGGAGGAGCTGGGCCTGCACCCCGCCGACCGCCAGGTGTACTTCGGACAGCTGCTGGGCATGTGCGACCAGATCAGCTTCCCGCTGGGTGAGCTGGGCCTCCCGGGGGTGGGCGGGGGCGGGGGTGCGGGGCTGGGGCTCACGCCTCTGCCTGTGCTGCAGGCCAGGCGGGCTTCGCCGTGTACAAGTACGTGCCCTACGGCCCCGTGATGGAGGTGCTGCCCTACCTGTCCCGCCGCGCCCTGGAGAACAACAGCGTCATGAAGGGCGCCCGGCGGGAGCGGCAGCTGCTGTGGCAGGAGCTCAAGCGGAGGCTCTGCACAGGCAACCTCTTCTACCGCCCGGCCTAGCCCCGGCCACCTGCCCGACTTGTTTCCCAGGCCTCAGGCTGGGGTCCGGCGGGCCCCGAGGCCAGTGCCACTACAGCCCAGCCGCACACGGACTCACCTCTCCACACCCAAGGCTGTAAGGGCTGCTTCCCCCCTGGACGTGGGCACCCAGGCACAGGCGGTCTGACAGAGCCACTGAGGTCAGGAACTGCCCACGCCCCTGACCTTGGACCTGAAGGCCCACTTCCGGCCAGGTGGGCAGCCAGGCTGAGGGAGGTGGGCTGGTCAATAAACCACTACTGCCGCCGCCGGGAGCCTCCACGCCCTTTCCTGTGGGGCCTCAGGTGGGTGAGCAGAGAGGGCGTGGCTCAGGCCTGGGGAGTCTCACCTCAGCCTGCCTCTCCCAGCCACGCGTCCCTGGGGGCCAGGCCCAGGCTTCCATCCAGGCTGAACCGCACCCCCCGCCATGCAGGGTGCTGGACTCCAACTCCACAACCCAGGGCCCAGCTCAGACCAACACAGACAGGAGGCCCCGGATTGGGCGTGGTGCTTCCCACCCTGGTCCCTTCCCTCACACCCATCCTGCTCCCTGTGCCCGGGACCCACACCAGGAGCAGGCCCATGGCTGCCGCCGCCGTGTCCCTCCTCGGCCAGCCCCGTGGGGCAGACCGGCTGCGCCCTGTGCCCCAGGGGAAAGGCAGTGGGCCTGTGACTGCATGGGGACAGCCCCCGGCAGGGGCCTCTGTGACACAGGGTGGGGCTGCCAGGTGAGGGCCCAGCGGGGCCCTGGTCCTGACAGACACCACAGAGCTGTCACACAAGCCACATGCAGGCTGCACTGCGGCACCTTTATTTCTCTGGCTCACACAAGCTTGGGCCACGGGGGCTGTGTCTACCAAGAAAGGGGCCGAGACCAGAAAGCAGCACAAAGCCTGGGGCTTGGCGGAGGTCGAGATGCGCTTGGTGCCAGGTTCTCTAGCCCCACCCTCTTGCCCAGCTCTGGGGCAGCCAGCCAGCCCCGCCGACCTCCCGGCTCTAGCTTTAGATGTAACACCACCTGTGACAAAGGCGGGTGGCAGACACAGCCAGGGCCCACCCGGCCTCTCCTCAGAGGCGACCCTTCCTGCAGGCACCGAGGCAGGCGGTGGCCAATGTCGGGAAGACGAGTTCCTCAGCTTTCTGCACTCGTGGTGACAGTGGGACAGGACTGGCCTCCCAGCCAGGATGGGCGGGGGTGACTGCAGGGACCCCAGCTGGTCACAGGGCTGGCTTCCCTGCCGCGCAGCCCCTCTGCTGCAGCTTCCGGATGAGCTCCAGCAGGTTCATCTGCAGTGTCAGCTCCTGGGACAGAGGGCCGCTGTGAGGCCGGAGGGACACCGCGGCCCCTTTGCCCCAGCCCAAGGCCCAGGAGCAGACCTCAGGGCCGACAGTGTGCCAGGCAGTGAGCCGGCCACAGCCTCCAGAGGCTTGGTGCACACAGATGTATGCAGAGGGGGGTCCCCCGGGCACAGAGGAGCTGGGGACGGTGAGCAGTGTCCCCGCACCTGTGGGCAGAGGCGGGGGGACCAGCCTCCGAGCTGAGTGCCGCACAGAAACCCATTTCCCTTCCTGCACACGCCCAGGCCTCCTGACCCCCATTCATACCCTGCCACTGCCTGGGCAGCCACCCCCAAACTCCGGATGGGACCTGGCCTCTGGGGATTAGCGTCCCTGGGCTGCGCCAGGGCAGGCCCGGGACACTGACCTGCGGGTTGGTGGTCACGTAGAAGCCAGCGACCCCCGCCTTCTCCAGTGTGCTCTGCTGGTCCGCCACCTTCCGGTCCAGCTCCAGGATGATCTTCTGGTCCATGGCCTGCTGCTCCTCACGGATCCGGTGCTCCAGCGCCTGCCGCAGTGAGGGCGGCTCAGGGATGCCGCCTCCACCCCCCAATGCCTCGCACACAGGGTCCTGGCCTGCACGGCCACCCTTCTGGAAGCTCGGGCTCCCTGAGTAACCAGGGAGCAGGATGGGCCCCTGCTGACTCCCCGTGACCCCACCATTGCCCTTGCACCTCCGAGGCCATGAGCACAACGGCCCCTACTCAGCTCCCGCCCTGCCCCGGCCCAGCCCACCAGGAGCTGCAGTCTCAGGGAGCAGGTGGAGGGGGTCACACACTCTACCTGGTCCTGGCACTCCAACACCCCATGGGGAGAAGCCACGTGTAAGCACTCTCCCGCCCTCAGCAGCCCACCCCAGGCTGGGCCCGGACAGCCAGCAGCTCCCGAACCCCCGAGAGCCCCCTCCACGCCCCGCCAGCAGAGCCCGGGGGCCCGCCCTGCCTGCGCCCGTACCTCCTGCTCACGCTGCTGCGCGGCCTGGAGCACGGGCACGTTGTGGGGCCGGCAGGCCTGCTGGGCCTCCTGGTGCTTCTGCCGCAGCGCCTGCCTGAGCACTGGGGGGAAAGGCCAGAGAGTCCATGAGGAGGCGCGGGCGAGATGGAGGGGCCTGGGAGCAACTCCCCCTCAGGGCCTGCACGACCTCAGCACCAAGCTGAGGCCCAGGGCAGCCAGGCCAAAGGCATAGGCGTGAGGCTCCAACTGATGACCCAGCCGCCCGGAGCCCTGTACAGCAGCTGAGGGAGGGGCTGGGGAAGGGGGGAGGCCCGTGGGACACCAGGCAGCCCAGCCCACTCAGCCCTCCCCTCCCCAGGGCGGCTCCAGGGGACTCGGAAAGGTGCCGCGCACTAGAGGGTGAGGCAGGGCAGGCGGGCGTAGGGGGTTCAGGGCTGGAGCCTGGACTCAGGACCATGTGGATGAGAGACTTTGGTCTGGAGGCTTCTGGGCTCAGAGGGCCACGGGCCAGCAGTCCTGGGTGTGACCCACAGAGATGTCCTGAGCCCACCCAGGCGGAGGCCTGGAGGAGGAGGATGAAGAGAGGGGTCCCTGTGCCCGAGCAAGGTGTGGCCTCTGCCCAAATGTTCCGAAGGACACGTAGCAAAGGGTCTGGAAAGTACCAAAAACTCCCACTAAGAGGAACTACGCCTTGAGCTCATTTCAGCAGCACAAATACTAAAATTGAGACGATACAGAGAAGACCAGCATGGAGTCGAACAGGACTAGACAGGAGAAAGGCATCATGGAATACAAAGAAACCAATCACAAAACAGACTACAGGACACCACACAGCCCACACCTTAGACCAGCAGGTGCCAAGTGGCTGTCGCTTCCCATAAAGGGGGGGTCCCTGGTCATGAGGAAGCACAAGCCCAGGCCGGTCCCAGGCAGAAAGCTCACGTCACAGCTCTTTCAGCAGAGGCCCCGAGGTCCTCCCACCAGCAGTTTGGTACCTGCTGTGCCCACAGCCTGCTGTTTCTTGGCATCGGTGCACACCTCGACTCTGGCATCTCTCACGTTAAAGGAGTCTGGAACCAGAGCCACCCTCAAGGCGGAGGCTCCAGAAAAAACGATCCCTCGTTGACGTGTACGCCACACGGAGGCAGGGAGTGAGGAGACACATAAATGCGGGGAAATGTCTCCTTCACGCTGCTTATGAAACGCTGCTGCCAATCCCAGGTCAACTCCCAGGTTCCCCTGGGTGAGCAGCCAGAGGTCAGAGGAGCAGGGGAGCAGGGGCAGGGCCTCAGAAATGACCAAGCAAAGCGACCACAGCCAGTCCCCACCTGCTCAGGGGAAGGGAGAAGCAGAAAGTCACAGGGTGCTGGCCCATGGCCAGCAGCACCAAAACCGGTCCCTAAGTTCTGAAGGACAAGCAGCAAAGAGTCTAGAGAGCAGCAAACACTTCCCACCAGGTGGAGCCAGGCCTTGGGCCCACTCCCGCAGCACAGACTACGTTGGGACGACACAGAGAAGATCAGCATGGCCTTTGCTCAGGGATGACATGCAAATTCATGAAACATTCTATGCTTTTAGTCAATGAGTAAATAGGATGAAGTGCAATTTATTAAAAAAAAACAAAAAACAAAAACAAACCTGGGGGAGGAGGCTGGAAGATGCTAATGAGGGAAAAAGGAGGACCGATGTTAATTCTTTAAACAACAAAGATCAAAAGAAAACAAAACCATTCCATGGGAAAATGGCAGGTTCCTTCTTTAAAAAAGAAAAGTTATTCTGAGTGCTTTATCTGCTCCCCCATCACTCACCTCTGTGGAGATAAAGATTACCGACACAAGAGCACGTGCTACTTACTGACAGCAAGCGTGAGCCTCCACTGCCGCCCGCACCTGGCGGAGACTCAATTGAAGGCAGGAGTGAAAGCTTTACATGGCCCAAGGCAGTGGTCAGCAAACTCATCAGTCAACAGAGCCAAATATCAGCAGCACAACGATTGAAATTTCTTTGGAGAGCTACATTTTTTAAACTTAAACTTCTTCTAACACCACTTCTTCAAAACAGACTCGCCCAGGCCGTGGTATTTTGTGGAAGAGCCACACTCAAGGGGCCAAAGAGCTGCATGCGGCTCGCGAGCCGCAGTTTGCCGACCACGGGCCAACGGTGTCCGTCCCAATGGGAGGCTGGCTAGTGTGGGGAAGCTGCAGGTGGTCTGCCTAGAAGAGGGGCCTGAACGCCTGCCTCTACCAGAAAGCAAGGAAGTGCTCAGAGGCAGGCGTCTTCAAACTGCGGCCCGCAGAGGAGTCTGATCCGGCCCACCAGGTTTTTTGGGCAGTGAGCGCAGCCGAGGTGTTACAGTAGGAATTAGTAGTTCATATAGTCCGGCCCTCCAGCTCTCTGAGGGACCGTGATCTGGCCCCCACTTTAAAAAGTTTGAGGACGCCTGGCTCAGAGTGATGGGACTTGTCAAAAAAGACTCGGGAGCCAAGCTGAAGTTCTCCCACTGGCCACATGTGGCACCATTTGGGCATTAAAAAGAATGATGAGTTATGCATTTTGGGTTTGTGAGCATATGCATCTTACACTTCAACTAGTGGCTCTGCATGGATTTGTGCACATTGAAAGAAAACTAATTGGAATATTTTAATATCGCCATTCCCCCTTTCCCTGTAATAGAAGTGTCAACCAAATTCACGATTGATAAGGACAGACGGAAACACACTCGTGCGACTGGTGAAGACTCAACTTAGCCTTTTACAGAACAAACCTGCTTAATTAGACCTGCTTTCTGATGTAGCTAAACTTCTTCCACCCCAACTTCTCTTTCAGGTAATTGTCAGCAACACAGCAGTAAGTATCAACACAAAGCAGGTTCTTATTGTAGTTCACGCAGGGAGAACAAAGGGGAAGATATTTAACTGCAGCAGTGTTTGCCTATATTCTGTGCAACAAAAAAAACACACCTGAAGTCATTTTCAAGGTTTACCATTTCTTCTTTTCAGTCGGGTCAAATTTCTAAATCTCCGTTTTCCGGCAAATGAAAAGAAAACAGGATTCCACCGAGTCTCCTAGCTACCTACTCTAAGACTTCTGTGAGATCAAATGAGATGAGGGAAATGCTTCCCAGACAGCTGCTTACAGTGTAAAGTGTTTCCACCTGGCTATAAAGCAAGCCGAGTTCCTGGGCTGAGAAACTGCTAGGAGGCTAGTGGCCAGGGAGAGGAAGTCAGGTGTTGCTACTTGATGCCATTACCCGGACGGAGGGAAGCACACTTAGCATATTAGCCTTCTATATAGATTACATAGATTAAAATGTTTGCAAACATAACCACCGGAACAGGGATGGAGTAATACTGATCCTACTCAAACTCTTCTGGAAAACAAGAGAACACTTCCCAGCTCACCCTAGGAAGCCAGTATCACCCAGACACCCACACCAGACATCACAAGAAAACTCCAGAGTGATGTCCATGGTGAACGCAAAAACAAAAATCCAAACGCATCAAATCCAAAGTGGACCAAAAGGACAATACATCATGATCAAGTAGGATCTATTCCAAGAATACAGTTTATCCCAGGAATTAAAAAACAACAACAATATAATTTACCATACTACATTGTAACCAAAAAGCTACTGATCATCTTAACAGATGCATAAAAAAGATTTGACAAAACCATCACAGAAACACACGAATTCTGGGGCAGACGCATCTCTCTTGTCTCCACAGGGGAGGGACCTGCGTTACTAGAGGAATTTTTGCCACATGTAACCATACCATCAGGCTCTGCCTGCCGCCCACTTTACAGGAAACACGGCGCGGGGAGGAATGGGTTAAGTGACAGCAGGAAGAAGCAATGTGACAGGTCCAGAGTGGGGGCAATCTGCAGGTAGGATGGATGCCTTGGGAGTTTTCAAAAGGTCAATGCCACAATAAATACTTAGGACTTCCAGAAGCTGAACAATGTCTCACTGCTAATACTTGTCCAGCCACAAAACTGGATTGACCCATTTGCCACCAAAACCAAAACCAAACAAAATTAAACCAACCAAAACAACAACAACAACATTGTCCAAAGAAAACAATTGCATAAACGGACATCGAATCCTTATAAAGCGCAGACAACTGGAAACAAGCTAGGGAATGGGACCCTGGACTGAAGGTCAGGGGGCACCCCTGAGGGATTAATTTCTCAGGAGGCTAGCTGGCCTCCACGGTTACACAGGAGAGTCACTGTTCTAGAGCGCAGGTTCTCAATCCTGAGACATTGTGGGTGGTCATGACCGGGAAACGGAGCTCCTGCGATCCGGTGGATAGCAGCCAGGGGTGCTCCTCCACATTCTGCTAGGCACAGGGCAATGTCTCACCGCTACTTGTCCAGCCACAAAACTGGATTGACCCATTTGCCACCAAAACCAAAACCAAACGAAATGTAACCAACCAAAACAACAACAAAAAATAAACGTTAGCAAAGATCCCGCCCTTGATATGCTCAACATTAGGAACGTCTACCGAGCAACACCCAGGGAAGGAGGGCTCGGCCCTCAGAGACCGCGAGCTCCCAGGGCAGGCTGATCTCCCTCCCGGAGGAGGAGCAGGCCTCGCCCCGCCGCCCCGCCGCCCCGCCGCCCCGCCGCCCCGCCGCCCCGCCGCCCCACGCACCTCGGTGCTCGTTCTGCAGCCGCAGGCGCTGGTTGTAGAGGCTCTTCTCGGTGAGGTGCTGGATCTCCAGCAGCCCCTGCACGATCTCGAACACGGTGCCGTCGAGGAGCGCCAGGGCCAGGTCGCTGAGCGTGGTGTAGGACAGGCGCTGCTGGAACGAGCTGCAAGCAAGAGGGGGGGGCGTGGTGAGCGCGGGCAGGGCCGGGGCCCGCCGCAACCGCAGCCGCCCGCCCCGCGGCCCGCACCTGGGCAGCTCCTTTACCAGGCTCTGCAGCGCCGACAGCAGCTGGTAGTGCCGCTCCTGCTGCCGGGCACCATCCGCCGCCTCGTCCAAGGAGCCTGCATAGCGCTCCATGGCGCCCGCACACCGGACCGGAGGGACGCTCCCTGCCGTAAGCCAGTCCCGAGCGCTGGGGCCACGCCCCTTTTGCGACATTTTACAGCACCGCGCGGCCGGCTTTGCGCGTCAGCTCGCGCGAGATTCGCTCCGCCCCCTCCGCGGGAGCGCCTGGGCGGGTCTTGTGTCGTCCCCGCCTCTTTTCTTACCGCCCCGCCCACGCAACCTCGGAGGCTCAACTCCGCAGCATGGAAACCCCGGGTTTCCAAGGTGCCCGCCCAGCCCGCGGGATGTCGGCCTTGACCCAAGCTCGGTTCCCAGCCCCTCCCTCTGGCTGCCTCGGGGCTGCGCGGTGCCAGGGCTCGTCCTGCGCATGCGTCTACTGGGGCGGCCGGAGAGTCCTGAGGCTTCAACCTGGTGGCCTGGCATCAGGCTGGCATCCCCGCCCCTCGTCCACCTCCCCCCACAGGGTCAGCACGGAGAAGAAACCCTAGTTCAGTGCCTCATTCCAACCTTGAAAATAGATTATTAAAAATTCCCAATTACACTTTTTATAGACTATAAAAATCTACCCCCAAAAAATCAGACTGCTGGATATTCTGCTGTGCTCTTGTGGGCGGGAAGAGGCGGGAGAGTCCTGTCTTGGAGAACTAGCATTGTCATGGGAAAGGGAGTGGGCTGAGGTGAGTCTGCCCAGTCTGGAATGGGTGGGTTCTTTAAAAATAAAAAATAAAAAAAATCATATATATATATATATATATATATATATATATAATATAAAAAATCATATATATATAAAATATAAAAAATCATATATATATAAAATATAAAAAATCATATATATATATATATATTTTTTTTTTTTTACTGATTTCAGAGAGTAAGGGAGAAGGATAGAAACATCAGTGAGTGATGAGTGAGAATTGATGGCCTGCCTCCTGCATGCCCCTTACTGGGGATTGAGCCAGAAACCTGGGCATGTGCCCTGACAGGTTCCTGGTTCATAGGTGGACACTCACCCACGGAACCACTGAACCAGGGCAGGAATGTGTGGGTTCTTGACTCCAGGCAGGAAAGAGTTCAATGTACAGTAAGTCCAGGTGGTTTTGAGAGCGTGTCTCAAACTTTGGGACAGTGACACAAAAGAAGGGCTTACGATAGCAGCAGCAAGATGACTGACAGCAGGGAGCCTAGGCGGGGCTGCTCTGAGCTCACTAAAAAGTTAGGCAAGAGGAGGGCCCTCGGGGCTTAGGGGACAGAAAGTAAAAGCACACAAGCCTGGGGAGAGGGGCTTGGCTGGGGTGTGCAGTGCAGGCACCCTTGGTCCCGAGCTTCTTACCTGCCTCCTGCAGCGGAATTTTAGGGGAAGGCTCACTTAATACGCATCAGCTGTCCAGGTGTTTCCTTTTAAAATCCTGACACATCGACATGAGCCTGTAAAGGGGGTTGAGGTCTTTCTCTGGCCGGTTCACCTCTGCCTTGGATTTGTCTGGCTCTAACTTTTTGTTGTTGTTACTTATTACCCTGACTTCATTCATTTGGGGGTTTGGGCTGGCACTGATGGCTCTATCGGGGTCTCTGTTATCTATCTCCCTATTTAAGGTAAGGCAAGCTCCGGGTCTCTGGTTGGGGAGGAGAAATGTGTCGCCTGATCTTAAGTGTCTGTGGTTGGTTAGGAGAGGACAGGGTCTCGTGAGCTCTGCGAATTGCTTGGCGGTTCCCTTATTTTGTCTCTGTTTTCCTCATTCACTTGTCAGGGGATCTCCTAGCTCTTTCCTAACCTGCCTCAGCACTATGCCTTCTTCATCTCAGTGGGAGTGCGTGAGGCAACTGCCAACATTGGGAAGGGGCTGCTCTGCAGAAAAATGCCAGAAATAGGGAGAATTTGGGGGGTTGGGGTTGGGAAAGGAAGACCAGAAAGAAGGCTCCTGCACCCACCTGGAGAGGACGAAATGGTTAAAATGTCCAGACCCCTGAGGGCAGACAGGTGCCCAACAACCGGCCTGAATGCCACAGGGAAGGAGGGGAACCCGGGACTGGCTCGGGGCTCCTCCTTCTCAGTATTCTCAAGTCGGCCTGTGCCAATCCCTGGCTGTGAGTGGGGACTTGGGGAAATCTCCTAGAGGTGTCTCCGATGAATAGAACCCTGAAGGGGTCTTCGTATGGTCGACCCTCACATGATTCCTCCGTCACAGACACCCTCCCGCGCTCTGCAGCGGGGCCCCGCGGAGGACGCTACCCAAAGTGGACGCCAGGGGGCGCTCGGCACCGCGGCGCGGACGGCACCCGGGCGTGTGTGCGGGTCCCGGGCCGGCGAAGTCCCCTGCCGGCCCCCTGGCATCGGCCATCCTGGCAGGCGGCAGCTCCAGGGAAGGGACTTGGTAAGATTTGGGGAAGTTCCAACCACCAGGCACCCGCACTCCGTAGGGGCGTCTGCACGGATTTACCCGTCTGGCCGGAGCTGGTCCCCCATCCGGAACGGGGACTCGAAAAGATTGGGGGAGTCCAGTCCTCCGGAGACGCCCTCCTGGACCATCCCGTGTGTGTGTATGTCGGGGGGGGGGGGGGTTGAGCGGTTCTTTGTCTCCAGAGTGGTAACTGGAAAAACTCAGAGGCTCCTCTGACAACCGGACCGCTTACGGGACGGCGTCCGGGCGCGGGAATCCTGTCCCGTTACCCCCCGTGGCGGCCCCGGTCCACACGGACCAGCAGCCTACAACCTGGTCCGGGAGGGCGGCAATGGAAACCCCCTCGTGTCCCTGCACGTTTCATCTCGGCGAATAGATGACGTGGGACGATCCCGTTAGTGCCGTCGGCCTCCCCGACGTCCACGTTGGGCACCGCGGCCACGTCCCATCCTTTGCAGCTTTCGCTGGAGCTCCCGAGAAGAGGCACTACCGAAACGAGGCCGCCAGGGGGCGCCCGAGAACCAGCACGAACGCCGGCAGGATGGACCTGACCGCGCGGGCAGGCGAGGTTCGCACGGAGGCCGCCCAGACAGCCGATCTCGTCGCTGCCCACCACGATCGCGTCTCTGGTCCCCAGACAGGAAGCTCCCGGACGGCAGGACACGACCCGGGGAAGCAGAAGGGAAACTTGAAAATGTTTCTAGGCGGCTGCGGGGAAGGGGACAGACTCTCCCCTCCGCAAGTGACTCCCAGGTTAGCGCTGACCTTTTCTAGACTCTGGGAGAGATGCGGGCAGACCAGGATCCGGTCCTGGATTCCCAGAGCTGTTCCCTGCTCCAAAGTGGCTTTCGTCCATTTCTCCGGGACTGGGCTGTAAAACTGAAATCTTGAAAGTACTCGTAGAAACCTGGATGCATCATTTTTAAAAATATATATTTTATTGATTTTTGTACAGAGAGGAAGGGAGAGGGATAGAGAGAAACATCGATGAGAGAGAGTCATCGATCAGCTGCCTCTTGCACACCCTCTACTGGGGATATGCCCGCAACCAAGGTACATGCCCTTGACCGGAATTGAACCCGGGACCTTTCAGTCCCCAAGCCGACGCTCTATCCATTGAGCTAAACCAGTTTCAGTGGATGCATCATTTTTATTGATCATTTCAGGCGAAGGTCCTTCTAAAGCATAAAACAAAGCCCAAGCCATAACGTAAAGGACTGATAAACATGGCCAAATTTTAAACAAAATTGATCTTTGTGCGTGTACCAAAAGCAAAGTCAAATGGCAACCAATGAGGAACATTGATGCCAATGCACGTGTAATATGATTATCAATTTCAGCATTGCTTGGTATAATACTAGAAAACAGGAAAAATAATAGTCATGGAGAGGGACGGGTTTAAATAAGTCCCAGCACATCAATACAATGCAACACTATGAACTGGTTCATATGGTAAGGCCAGGTCAATACAAGAATGGAGACCACACAAGAGAAACTTCAAATACTGAATCAAGCAGTACACTTAAGTGGCCACCAAGTGGTGCTGGTGACTTAGCAACATGGTTTAGCCCCCAACCCCCAGCAAAGTGAATTTTGCTTACGATTATATTTTGCAACTTTCTTAGGCCCCTAGCCATGGATTTTATATAGCTCCTTATATAAACTTTCAACTCATCATTAAAGCATACACTTTTTATAAAAGTGTTCTTTACAGCAAAATTGAAACAAAACAGTTTGAATATATTCAATTTGCAAAATTTATTGGGGAAAAAAAACTTATTGGGCACTTAGCATATTGTGTCAGGAAGAAAGCATGGATAAGACATGGCAATCACAATATAAATGATTTTACACAGCCCTCAGCTGGTTTGGCTCATTGGATAGAGCATCAGCCTGTGGATTGAAGGGTGCTGGGCTCGATTCCAGTCAAGGGCATGTACCTTGGTTGTGGGCACATCTCCAGCAGGAGGTATGCAGAAGGCAGCTGATCAATGTTTCTCTCTCATCGATGTTCCTAACTCTCTATCCCTCTCCCTTCCTCTCTGTAAAAAAATCAATAAAATATATATTTTAAAAAATAAATGATTTACACAAATACAAACAAGTGATTTCAATATAAGAAAATCACTAGAATGTTAGCACAAGTACTTTTTGTTTTGTTTACAACATCTGGAATGTAGCAGGAGTACAATAAATGCAGTTATTGAGTAAATGAAAGATTTGATGAATTAATGGTTAAACATGCTTATAGAAAGTATTATGAACATAGTTTTTTTTTAATGTTCTCTAGTTTTACTTAATTTTAAAATAAAGTTTTATTTTTATTTTTCTACAGTTGATCTACAACATTATATTCGTTTTGGGTGTTCAACAGAGTAATTAGACTTTTGTATATCTTACGAAGTGCTCACCCAGATAAACCTAGTACCCATCTGGACACCACGCATAGTTATTGCAACATTATTGACTATAGTCCCTATGCTGTACATCCCATCCCCGTGCTAGGACGATTTTGTAGTGACCCATTTGTACTTCCTAATTTCCCAGATTCCCACATGCCTAGGCACAGAGGGACCTCCGGAGAGTAGAGTCCAGCTGACTGACAAGAGAGAGGGCGGGCTCGCAGTGGCTCAGTGCAGCACTAGCA